TTAGCCAAGGATGCAGCACCGGCCCAAAAATGAAAACAAGTTCCTCTTATTCAAAGTACACATGCATGCAGGAACATACATATTATGAGAACTCATCAAAATTTTCAATATGAAATATGGGTTTTTACAGAATAAATTAGGTCTTATCGGAAGTGGAAATGAGAAAGAAAACTGGACTTGGAATAAAGAGCCCAAGTCATTACAAGAAATGCAACTGTAGAAGCTGAGAGTCTGGCAAAGAGTAGAAGAGAAATGGGTGAAAATGAAACTATGGGCATCTCTCTCTCTGGTTTAAGCTCAGTGGAAACTTGGTTCAATAAAAAGTTCAATGTAAGATGTATGCTATAAGAGTAGATTCAAAAATAGGTCCAACACGTGTCGATTCGGGATTGGAAAATTTGAAAAATAAGAAACATAACACCCAATCAGACCATGCCACAGCAGCCTGTTTTTGTGCATCTCTGTCCCTGAGCATGCTCAAGGGAATTATTCTTAATGATAATTATGATTGAGATGGGGGGATTAAATAAGAATTTTACGTAATGCCCTAATAAGGAAACCATACACTGTCTAATTTCCTCGTAGATAAATGAAAGGAGAGTCTCATTAGGATTGTCTTTCCTTGTAACAAAAGGAAAAGAAAAGGGAAGTGTCATTAGAACTTTTAGTTGATGCCTCAATTACTATATATAGGAAGAATTGAAGTGAAAATTTGGTGTGTGTGGAGACACATTAATCAAACCCAAAAAGAGAGAAAAACCGAGAGCAACATGGACAAATAAGTTAAGCAGTTTGTGCAGGCGTATCAAACATTTGTATCTAAATAATCTGCGGTCCGATCACTATGAAATTTAGACAACATTCACCACTTTTATTATTCAAATCCAACGATTAATTCGAGAGAAATTTAATCTAAACAGTAGCAAAGGCTGGTGAGATCTTTCCTTTATTGGTTTTGCATACTATCTCAAGAATACTTTTTCTCGAGATATTGTGATTGCATGGCTGGTATTGCTGACCTTGAGGAATTCCATCTTTGATAGGTTAATGTTTATTATGGTTGTGCTAAGAATTGGTTGAATTCTTGATGTTGATTGTGCACCTAGTGTTGATTATAGAAAATTTGTAGGGTTCCATCTTTGAGATGAAGAGACGCTGTTGGCATTCCAATTGATGCTTGTTGTAAATTTAGTATCGACTAGATATAACATTGTGAATTTCTCTCTTTGTTAGTTGATGATTTATGATTGGTGCCGAAATATGTGTTCTTCATGTAGTTTTGGTTAAGCCTCAAGTCCGCGTTAGGAATAAAACATTGGATTCAAACTAATATTTGTTCTATTCATTAACATTACGCATATGATGTGTGCTCAGTGTGACTTTAATATTTCAAAATCATGTAGTTTCTTTGTAAAAACATTTTCTACGACACTTTCTTGAAAACTCTTCTCTTCCTATAGTTTCCCTTCTCTATTGGAACTTCCTATTCACATTTAAAAACATCATATTAATGTAGCGAATAGCAAAAGATAAATATTTTGGAATTAGACTAGAAAAATGTGTTATTAAGGTAGTCAACTGAGAGAAGCTAACATGTTTTTTTTTTCTGCCAAAAAGATTATAAATAATTCAATTTTATAAAGGTAATGCTACTCATTAAATTTGAATATAAGAAATAATATTTTTATTATACTTGTTGAGATTATCAATAATTCAATTTTGTAAAGTATATACAATAAATTAATCAAACATGCGCTACTAAGAGACATTTTCTACAACGGCCAATTACTCAAAATAACAATTCTCTTGTAAATCATCGCAAATATTACCCAAAAATCAATAAAAATACAAAACATAATCCAGCCATAAATATTAATCTTCTTTAAATGGTCAGTCTATCAAACAGAAATTTAGATCATTCCTCTTTCATGCAAGCCTGAATACTTTTCTACTTTGGTATTGAAAGGTGATGTGCGTTGAGAAGCAATTACAACTTACGTTGTGCAAATCTGACATGTATGAATTGTAGCGTTGGCCAACTTGGCATACATTTTAGCAGTCTATGTCGAACTATTTTAGGATTAGGATCTTGTAGCCCTACAAGTCCATAATCAGGACGAAGTCAGGGAGACAAAATAATAATAATAATAAATTATATTAGACTGTTACATAGAAAAAAAATTACCTTAAAAAAAATAAATGGACCTCCATAAGTTCAACTGATGTTAGACAATAAGCAAAACTTAGTTACATATCGTCTACGTAAAACGCAAACTATCAGTATATTATTCGTCATTGCCAAACTATACATGCCCATAATGTTATTCAATGAGGATTAACATGTAAAGCAAGTTCACATAATTCCTCTATCTATACGTGCAGAAAAGTCACACATCAACTATAGGATGGACAAAAGTGTGCAATTTATGTCAATATCCAAGAATCCAAACATACTTTGTTGCAATTTTTGGATTTTGAATTTAGTCCAAATTACATATCACAGCCAAGTCCTAATTCTTGTGTCAAAAACTATGTTTGCCAGTCTAGATCGACTGTGACAAAGGCTGTCCAACAACACTTACTTTTTATATTCCTTTTTCCAACAACAAAATTGAAAAAAAACATCGCCATTGGCATGTTTGACGGAGCAATAAACAATTTTTGTCCATCCAGCCTACATTTAGCAATTATATTGGTCAAATCAATTTTTTTCCATATATTTCACAAGATTCACAAGTATTACCCATTTATTTTTGAAAGTGCTTATAATTTAAATCATTAATTATAGACACTTCCTAAAATGAGTTGAAAGTTTAACACAAACCATCTACATAATTGATTAGGTTCAGATGGTTTGAGTTATTTTAAAAATATTAATAATTGTGAGATATAGAGCCTAGTTAGCCAAAGCAAATACCTTGAAGTTTGCATATGTAATGAAGAGTTCATATGTGTGTGTAATCAGGTTAGATCAGATTTTTTTATTATGAATATTAAAATCAATCGATTCTCAACTTTATTATCTAGAAATAATTGAAAGTTAAGCAAAATCAAATTGAACTAGCCAGTGTGATCTCGAACTTTTACCCGCCCCTATTTATCTCTTTTTCCATCATTCTATGTTCAAAATTCTATACATCAATAATTTTCTTTAAAAAAATAATAATAAAAATCAATACATCACTTACTTTCTATATTTTTATTCTCTTCTTGTCTCTTTTTTTCTCTTGTTTCTTTTGCTTTTGGACCTTTCCTCTTTTTACTTCCTCTTGGTTGCGTTAGTCTAGAAAATCAAACCTTGTCTAAAAAATTACAAGAATTCGACTTCCCTAATATCTAGGTGGCAAGTTTCTATTTTTATTTACTAGTCAAAGTTTATGAAATGCATTCTTAAATGTGAAATTCTAATTGATTTATTATTGAAATTAATAACACATTGAAATGCATAAAGAAAGATAAATATTATTTAAATGAATGTGAATGTTAATTAATTAAAAATTAATAAAGGTAATTCATACATTAATGAAAGCACATAAGTGAAATGAATATGTCAAATATACATTTACATTTATAGTAATTAAATGGCTAAATAATACATTAAATACATATTGAAAAACGAAAAGTAAAGTATTATTGAAATAATTAAATTATAGTAGGGTTAGAATTGTTCAAAAAATTGATTCTTACGTGATATAATATTTAATATATTATAGATAAAAGAAAATTAAAAAAAAACAATTGTATTTGAATCTAATATCAATCATTTATTTCTTCAAAAAAACATCACTCGCTTATATCTTATCCTCCTTCTCAATTTATATTTTATATCTTAATAAATAAAAAATAGACTAATATACATATATACATAAAGGGAAATAAACTTTAGTGGAGAGAATAAAGGAAATAACAAAAAGGGAAGAGACGAAAGAATTTGGGGATTAACTTCGTTCCAAATCGATTTAGAGCTATGGGTTGGGAGCGCCCGCTTTTGCAATATTTCAAAACTTTTTTATAATATATGCAAATTTTTCCTTCTCGAAAATTTCTAGAAATTGTATCAATATCAACGAAAATCATTTTATAAGGAGACAATATCTCCAAACCTTCCTAAGGAGATAATCCCTTTGGTTCGAATTAATGTTAATATATTTAATTTCTAGTTATTTATTTGTAATTTTGTACATATCCTTCGATAGCAATTAGGTTGAAACATTTTCCATTTAAACTATTCTTGTGACTTCAAATAATAGATTTTCCTCAAGAATATACTTTAGAGTCCTCATCACCAATATCATTAATTAAACTGTTTAATAATTAGTCTCCATTTGGCAACCAATTTATAAATAGTTTATAAATTCGATAAAATGGAGGGTTATTAAACGATTTATAAATTTTCCAAGCTTAATTAATTGTCCATTTTTTCCTCTATGTTTATGCAAAAATCTACCATGAAATATTTATTAGTTACTTTTTTAAAAGTAATTAAATGAAGTTCATAAAGAGATAAAGAAACAAATAAACAAGACGATTAGGATACATATCCTAGTATTCTTTTGTTACTATGCTTGGCATTGTTTTTGTCCATTACAAAAAGTTAAAAACTGCTGGCTATGGAACCTTTTCAATTTATATACAGTGATTCTTTCATAAACAAATTGGGGGTTGGGGTGCGGGGGAGCAAACTTACTTTTACAAGTTAGCTAGTTCGTCAGGGTAGGGTCAGTTCCGTTCAGTTTAATTCAATTCGATTAGATTATATTAGGTTTCAATTAGAAGTTGACACAATTTTGAACATGAATTGAAATTCTTAATACATATTATTTGACATAGTATATCGTAATTAACTAAAAATATTTTTTCTAATCCCTCAATGTAATAAATTGAAGGTTGTAATCAAGCTCATAACATGACATCATGGTTTGTACGTCGACTCATTCCTTCCAATATAATTTACTAAACATGATCGTCTTTGTATATACTCTCAAGAGTCTTCAAATGTAACCAAACACGCAACGGGATGGAATCAAGAAAAATTTGATAGTAAATACATTCATTAAACGACATAGGAGAATCAAGATTGTGCCGACTAACAAGTCACCATCTAGTGAACTGGCTGATGAAAACAATGAAGTCGCCCACTATATATGTACGAAGTTAGGCTGCAAGTTACTCAAATATAATCAATATCAAGAAATAGTGTGTGAAAAAAAAAAAAAAGAGAATGGAATTCGCTTGTAAGGATTTTAAGGTAGGAAAGTGTGAAGGTGAAAAGCTTGTGCATAGTGAAACCATGCCACTAGTACTACAACCTCCGGCAGCTGAGAAAAATGATGCGGACTCATTAGTCGCGGCGTTGAAGGAGAACAAGGAGTGGTTTGAGGAGATGATAATCAAAAACAGTGCTGTCCTCCTCCGGGGTTTTGATGTGAAGAGTGCAGTGGACTTCAATGAGATTATAGAAGCCTTTGGATGGGACGATATACGGTATGTGGGACCCGCACCACGAACACACGTGTATAAAAGGGTATGGACAGCCAATGAAGGTCCCCTTTCTGAGTTCATATACTACCACCATGAAATGGTTCTGGTTAGTGACTGTGTCCATGACTCCATGTTATGATTGCACTTATTCTGAATAGATATACATGTGGCTTACTACTTGTTTGTGTTGTTAGATAACGGAATCACCAAAAAAGGTGATACTGTATTGTGAAATACCGCCACCAGAGGGCGGAGAGACGCCATTCGTGCCTAGTTTTCGAGTAACAGAACGAATGCTGGAAGAGTTTCCAGACGTGGTGGAGGATCTAGACAAGAAAGGACTGATGTATTCATTCACGGCTCTCAGCAAGAACGATACATCTTCGATGAGAGGCCGAGGTTGGGAGGATACTTTTGGCACCTCAGACCCTAAAGAAGCAGAGAAGAGGTATGTAAGAAGAGATTTTTACATTTTAGTATCTATGCCCACATTGATTATTAGGTCCGACTCTTCTCTTCAAGAAATGAGTCCAAAAAAAAAATAAATAAAAATGGGAGAGCCTAGGCCTGCCTAGACTGGCATTAGATGGTCAACAAAATGGTTGATTTCCTTTTGACATGTCAAGGCCCTTGTCGGGTGCTTCGTGCCTAAGCACAATTTCAGAACAGTGAATATAAGGTTAGGATCAAGATAAATAATTTGATTATGTCTAGTCTAGTACACTAAACATATCATGAAAGTAATTCATATTGTTGGTGACAGGGCTAGTGCGTTGGGGATGGATTTGGAATGGCTACCAAATGGTGGGGTTAAGGCCGTTTTGGGTCCAAGAAGTTTGACAAGGGTGTTCGATGGAAGAAAGGGAAGAAGAATGTGGTTCAACACCATGGTTGGAATGCACGGCAAGGAGCACAGCTCGGCAAAAATGGCTGATGGAACCGAAATACCTACTAAGTTTGTTAAGAGATGTGAAGAGATTATTGAAGAAGAAAGCATCCAATTCAAATGGCAGAAGGGCGATGTGCTCTTTTTGGATAACATGGCTTTGCTTCATGGAAGACGACCATCTCTTCCACCTAGAAAAGTCTTGGTTACTACATGCAAATAAGCTTAAAATCGATGACCTATTAAGCAAATAAAGAAATAAAATAAACAGCTATGAAATAATGTTTCTTTGGAGATTGAATAATGATATCTAGCATCATTAGTGGTGCTACAATATGAGTGTAAGTGACACTATGTGATAAGCTCAATAAAAGTAAAATTATGTAACTCATTTAATTGTATTTCTCACTTAATGTCACCTATTGCTACGAAAACTAATATTGTAACACTTGTGATGTTAAATACTACTATTAAGTGAAATTTGCTATTAATCCTTAGTTTTTACAACTTTTCTTCCTCATTCCCTTATTTGTTAGATATTTTGCAAGTTAATAGTATACTAATGAGTAATTGGCGTAAACGTTCTTATCGTTTGTCTTTGTTGAGAAATCGTTATTATCATTTTGTTTTTGATATTTTGGCCCTTAAATCAATCATTATTTGAGCAAATGATCCTTTTCATTTGATTTCAATCGATGTATTCTATTAAATAAGCACGTGCTTTGAACATGACCTGAGAAGGAGAATATTTGCGCTCTAATTTAAAATAAAAGAAGAAAAAAAAAATAAAAAAGACAAAAGAAAAATGAAAAAACAGATAGAAGAAAATAATATGGTTCTCTTTCTTCTTCAAATCCCCCCACCGTCCCCGTCCCCTACCCTCCCTTCCCCTTCCAATTCTAAACCCATTTAGAGCATTAAGCCAATTTTGCACCCATTGATTTTGAATTTAGGGTCCATTTGATTGCAAATGTGGAAAATACAAATCAATTCCATGTAAGTTGGAAAAGAAAAACCACCAAAATCATAAGAATTCAATTTCCATGAAATCGGCCAAAAACATGATTTAAGCGTTTGTACTTTGAAATTCAAACTACATTTCCACTTTCGTATAAAACGGTCAAAATAAAAAATGAACTTCTCGGATGTGACATTTTCCATGGAATTCGTTTCAATCAAACGAACCTTTAGTTCAGATTTGTCATTGGACTCGTGATATGGGTGAGAACATACTAGCAAAATATATCTCCTATCTGGATTTTACGTAAAAGGTCTTGCCTTATATGCAGTTTTCAGATTTGTCTTTACAAAATTCCAACTTCAGACATCTTAAGAACTGATTTGCGTGCTGAGAAAATAATAATAATAATAATAATAATAATCTTTACTTTCTTAAAAGAGAGGCTTTTGATACTGTTCATTTATGTTACAGCCGTTTTCACACTTAAATCCAATTTATCCGGTTTTGCTACAGTAGTTTGTCCTTTTCTTTGTTCTTTTTTTTCTTCCTTTACATTGTTTTCCCACTTTACCCTTGAAAATCCCGCCTTACACTAATTAACACATTGAGGGCTTAATGGTCACTTGCACCCACAGTTGTTGACTTTGCACAGACAAGTTTTTTTTTTTAATTTTAATTTTAATTTTTAATTATACTATTAATATATTTTTTTTGTAAACTTTTTAAGAAACCCGTTTGATGTAACTTTAACTATTTTCGATATTCATTTAGATCAATTCGATGAGTCCATAATATAGTTCTCGAAACGAGTTCGATAAAATATAGACAATATATTTTTTATAGATGTTGCGTTAAAAAAATGACGAGTTATACGCATTTTTTAAACTTGACGTCAAACTATAATTGGGGATTTGGAAGGGAAAACGGTGAAATTTGACCTCAAAAACGATGTCCACCAAGCGAAGCTATGTGGCCATGACGTGCGTGTCGAAAAGAGCTTTCTGAATTGGGGTCATGGGCTCAATTCCGACAACTGTAGCAAAACTTATAGCCAAATTAAAAAAATAATAATAATAAATTTAGAAAAAAAAATAAGTCCGTAAGAGAAAAAAACCAGAAGAAAAAGAGTAAAATTAGACACTCCGCGCTGCACGGAGTGCTTGCAAGTGAGCACTCCGCGCACTAAATTTTTTTTTTTTGCCAGTGAGCACTCCGCGCAGCGCCCCCCCCCCACTAAATTTTTTTTTTTTTTTTTTTTTTTATGGATTATTTTGGTAATTCGACCATAACTTTGGCTACGGTTGTCAGAATCGTGCCCATAACCCCAATTTGGAAAGCTCTTTTCGACGCGCACGTCGTGGCCACCTCGCCAGACTGGGTGGACATCGTTTTCAAGGTCAAAATTCGCTATTTTTCCTTCCTCTTCATTTACGCGTTTGATGTTTGTTTAACTATTTTCGATATTCATTTAAATCATTTGACGTGTCTATGATATAGTGCTCGAAATGAGTTTCGATGTCATATAGAAAATATATTTTTTTATATATTTTACGTAAAGGAATTAAGAAAAGTAGGGCGATAATAATTTTATTAGGAATTTTTATGCCAAAAACAAAAAAAAAATATTTTATGCAACATCTATAAAAAATATATTTTCTATATTCTATCAAACTCATTTCGAGAATTATATTATAGACATATCGAATTATTTAAATGAAGATCGAAAATAGTTAAATGTACATCAAACGCGTAAATGAAGAAAATAACTATAGGAGATTTGGAAGGGAAAACATCAAATTTTGACCTCGAAAAAGATGTCCACCCAGCGTAGCTGGGTGGCCACGACGTGCGCATCGAAAAGAGTTTTTCGAATTGGGGTCATGGACAGGATTCTGATAACCGTAGCCAAAATTATGGTCGAATTACCCAAAAAAAAGTCTTAAAAAAATAATAAAATAAAATAAAATAAAATTTTCCAAGCACTCCGCACAGCGCGGAGTGCCTGAATTCAAATTTTTAATTTTTTTTTTACTTATATTTTTGTGTTCATTTTCAGGTTCATTACGGAATATCAAATAAAGTCGAAATATTATATTTTTAATATCGTTTTGAAGTATTCGCGACATAGTATTGCACGTCGTTCACGGTGCGTGAAACGGTCAATCATGGCAAATGTTATCGGACGTCAAAGTAGGTATGTTCAAACTATATTTCGAAATTTTCGATAATGAGCTAACTTTAAAAATTTATCGACGACTGTGCGATAATCGAATCGATAAATATTTTACATTTTCTCGAAACTCATTTTGAGAACTATATCGTAGAGACATCGAATGATTTAAATAGATATCAAAAGTAGTTAAAAGGATATTAAACGTATGTGTTAAAAAATACGAATAATTCGTTTTTCTTAAAAAAAATCAATTATTTTATTACTATTTCGAAATTTTCGATAACAAGTTAACTTTAAAAATTCGTCGACGATTATACGATAGTCGAATCGATAAATGTTTTACATTCTCTCGAATTTTTTTTACTTATGTTTTTGTGTTTATTTTCAGGCTCATTACGGGATATCAAATGAAGTCGAAATATTATACTCTTAATATCGTTTTGAAGTACTCGCGACATAGTATTGCACGTCGTTAACGGTGCGTGAAACGGTCAATCATAGCAAATGTTATCAGACGTCAATGTAGGCATTTTCAAACTATATTTCGAAATTTTCGATAACAAACTAACTTTAAAAATTCATCGACTACTGTGCGATAGTCGAATCGATAAATATTTTACATTTTCTCGAAACTCATTTTGAGAACTATTTCGTAGAGACATCGAATGATCTAAATAGATATCAAAAATAGTTAAACGGACATTAAACGTATGTGTTAAAAAATACGCATAATTCATTTTTCTTAAAAAAAATCAATTATTTTATTACTATCTCGAAATTTTCGATAACAAGTTAACTTTAAAAATTCGTCGACGATTTTACAATAGTTGAATCAGTAAATGTTTACATTCTCTCAAAACTCATTTTGAGAACTATATCGTAGAGATATCGAATGATCTAAATAAATATCGAAAATAGTTAAACGGAGATTAAACGTATGTGTTAAAAATGCATTTTTTTAAAAAAATTGTTTCTTTTTTCCTTTTTAATTCTTTTTTGTTTGACGTCATTTTTTTTTTTTTTTGGTTTTAACGTAAAATTTTTTAATAATCATTCTTTTATGCAAAAAATTGTATTAGATTATTTTAAAAATTAATTTATCAAGAAGAAAAAGTCACAATAAGAAAAAAAATTCCTAAAAATTATCGAATTTTTTTTATATATAATTTTTTTTTAGATGTTAAAATAATTAAGATGAAAAATTTGTTGGCTCAATTTCTTGTTGCTATAATTCAAATGTATTTTTTCAAACATTATTATTTTAGTCTAAGTGATTATTTTACTTATAAATGACGTATTTGATAATACTTTATTCAATATAAGTAAGTCGTTTAATTAATCGAATCATTTTTTTTATTGTTGAATATCTAATTGATATAATTAAATCGTTTAATTAATCGAATCAATTTTTTATTGTTTGCAGTCTCCCTTTGTTTCCTTATTTAATATGTTAATATCTCCTTTTATAAAATTCAAGCCATGCATTGCATGGCACAAGACTGGTAATAATAATAATTCTTGGATGGGAACAATAATATACTGCTTGTCCGTTAGGAACTTTAGATGACTTGGAATAAGTAATGTTCCTCTTGCTTTGAAGTGCCTTGAATTAAGCACAATATTTGCTACAATTATGAATTACCTGATGAGTATTGATCTTGATGGCACTATGTGATAGACTCAAATAAAGATAAAATAATATGACTCATTTAATTATATCTTTTATTTAGAGTCATATAATGTCATCTAGACCAACTTTTATTTTATTACTTTGAATTTTTCTTTCCTTTATTTTTTTTTTTATCGTGTTACTTGGCTTTTTTCTATTTATTTTTTCTTGTTTATTTAAAATTTAAGGACAAGATTGTCCTTTTAATATCATATACAAAGCAAAATAAATGGATGAAACCAACAGGAAGGACATTTAACACTAAAAATGATCGATCTTTAACACTAAGAATGATCAATTTGATAACCCAAATGTCAAAAGTGAAACGACAAACACAATATATCCAATAAAGACGAAAGAAAGACTTTTTGAGTTAATTACCCTTTATTAATTTTCTAACATGCACAATTAGCAGATAACGATACACTAACCAGAAGCTACCATGCCTCCACAAATAAAATAAGGGAAGTGCTACATGTACATAATTGTCTTTATAATGGTGTTCATAATTACACGTGACACTGGATCAAACCTTTAATTCAAATATCACACTTGCACATTAACAACCAGATGATTGTCATATCACATTATGGACACCATTATGTGCAATAATTATGTACAAGTAGAATTTTTCTTAAAATACTAGTGAGATGCACGTGTTTTGGTATAATCGAGTACGTAATAGTGTCGGGAAAAAAGAAGGAAAAAAAAGGAAGCTGTGTTAGTGTTGGAAGATATCTCATATTCGTCAAATCAAATTTCTGCATGCCTTTTAATTTAAAGATGAAGACAAGTAAAAAAATATTATTCTAATGAGTAAGTAAAAGATGATTTATACATCTTAAAAGCTGAATTCGATACACCATACATTTAAGTACATGTAGAAAAATATCATGAAGCCAACAATACACTCCTGCTAAATTTAAACTTCATTGAAGAGGTTTTGTGCAAAAGTAGTGCTACAAAACAAAACAAAGTTACAAGTTAGAAGTATGAAAGTTCTTGTACATTTGTTGGTGAAAGTGCATAAAGAATTAAAATCATTGGGAACATCAACGTTAAAGATAACCAGATATCTCGAAGATAAATTGACATAATCAAAGGTACACAGAGATCAAAGATAACTATACATAAGACACAACAAAGGTGCAGTTTCCAGAACTGAGTAGAAAGTAATAGTGTCTGGGCTCTATTATTTCTGGCATGTGCTTTTAATTTCTTCCGTGACCTCTCTATCACCACGGTAAATGATTGCATTAAGTAAGGGTACAAACCTAAGAAAAGAAGAAACTAAATAAATAAATGGTCAGATCGAAGAACATAAATGGTGCAAGAGATTATAAGTTGAACCATAAGAGAAGTATATTCTTTGAGTACTTCATTTTTATATCGAGTACTACAATGAACAACAGGAACGAGTAGTAGAAAACCTACCAAAGTATAATATTTTTTAGAACAGGCAAGAACCAGATTGACTTGACGGCATCTTTTCCTGTATGAGCCCATTCTAATGCGTCTTTTCTTTGCAACAATACTGCCATCAACTGCTAAAAAATTAAAAATTACAAGGTATCAAATGGGATAGTTTTGCACTTGAATATACAATACGATTCCTGTAATGAATATGTCGAATTATGCAAAATTAGCAATCGTTCAAAGTAAAATGTAGGACCATATTCTAGTGAGAAGCATACGTAAAATAGAGCAGTACTTTGCAACATGGGGTCAGCATGTCAAAAAGGGCATTTCCTCATCTTCCTCATCAAAGTTAACTACAGTGACAGACACACTGTTCCTTTTTAATGTCCTTCCAATAATCTCTAACTCATCGTCACATTTCAGAGGGCTAAACTCACAAAGTGTAACAATTAGTAAAGAGAACAAAACAAAAGAAGAAAAAGATTGAGGATAATGAAATTATTAGAAGTAGAGATTACCCTACCCTGAATGCAATAATCCTTTTTTATTGTGTTACCTTCAAGCGATGCTCGAGAGCCGCATGAGCCACCTAGATCCTTGTTGCCAAGTTCAGCTAACCGAATCCTTGTTTCCAAGTTCAGCTGACCACCTATTTCTAGACCTACATTCGTAAAGCAAAAAGTTTTATTCACGTACACTATTAAAGCTATAAGATCCGATTGACGCCTAAACCAATGTTGTATTAAAAAAGAATAATTTCCATACAAGTAAAAATGAAATGATTTGATTTTTTTTTTCTCCTGCTTTCAATAAAAAAAACAAATAGTTAGAATAGTTAAACGAATAATACAAACTGATAGTTCATGCAAGGTAAGAGCTTCCGTAGCTTGTTAGTTGGTCTAACGAATACTTGAACCCCTGTTTATACCTTTGTTAACACTCCAATTGCATTATATGCAATTGAATACAATTAATTTAAAGAAACTCTAAGCATTATTGGCTAAGATAAAAACTGTGAACAAACATGAATTTAAATTCGACTCAACAAGCATTAAGAAATCCTAATGACCATCACGCTGAGGAGGAGAGAAGTGTGCAAAGAAAAGAAGAGAATACCTGGGCTTCTGAGGCATAGAGATATTTTCAACTGCTGGAACAAAAATGGTTTCACAATTGATTATACAATGACAATATAATTCCTTCTGAACACATAATTCAGGACTTTAAATTGAGGAAAAATTGACGTAGGTTTAGGAATTACCTCTTAATATGAAATATGCTGGAGTCTAAAGTTTGAGCTTCTTCCAAAGTAACTATCACCAAACTTAAAAAAGAACTCTCCTAAAATAATAACACAATCTAAAAGAACAATCAAATATGTTGACAGAGAAGTCATCTCTTGTTTGAGTTCTATAATGTTCACTTTGTAGTTATAAACAAAAGATAAGTTTTCCATGAAGATATTTAATTGTTCTTTCAAATTATGGTAATCTTTCAGGAGAGTTCTTTCTAAATTTAGTGATAAATGCTTTGGAAGAAGCTCAAGTATTATCATTCATATTTGACTCTTTAGATATACCTGTAGAAAAATGTGGAGCTTCATGAAGTAAGTAGAAGTGTAAGAATTAAAGCGCATTTGAAGTGGAGATACAGGAAAAAAACCAATTATATATTAGAGCATACATGAAGTAAGAATAAACATTTTTAGTGGCACGAAGGTATACCCTTGAAAGCTAAATGTAGGCGCACCGAAAGAAATACCTAAAAATTGAGTTAGGCGGAAATACTATTCATATAGACTCATAGTATTTTGTTTAGATTGTTTTCAATCGAATTTAATAAGAATAAATTTAAATGTACAAATTCAATGCCAATTTGAAACCAAAAAAGAATAGGCAAATTACAATTTCGATACCCAATAGATTAGTCATGGAGTGTTTGTACAGAAGAAAACAGATAAATATCCGATAATAAGTAAATACGAAAGCCGCAAATGGAAATGTACAGTTTATGTAAGAGTCCAACTTCCATCAATGCTGGACACTTTGTACACCATGAACATGGGGATTTCATCGTTCATAAGTTCAAAGACACATGTGTCACCTATTTGAAGTTGCTTCTCTCTAACATATTATGCCCAACCTACGGTAAAAGATCGCAGATAACCATTTGTTCTTAAGTTTGTACGTATGGACATTTATAATGTGAACAATCATGGATTTGAACATTCTGGACAGACGCTGGTAAGAACAATCGAGCGAAGGTCCCAGGTACGTACTACAAAGCAAAATGACAAATCTATAAATAGTTAAATCCAGAATTCAGCAAGAATGATAAGTATGGAAATGTTTTGTGTAGTTCAGGAAAGATTTAAGTTACAAAGGAGCATACAATTTTTCAATGACCATCGCGATTAGCTTCTAATGTTACTCGGAAGATAGGAGTACCAGTACGTGAAGTCTCTATCAGACTCATACGTTACTTCCACGCCTGAACATTCGAATATCGAAACATCGAAAGTAGAATTTCCGTTATATTCAAAGACAAGAACATAACCATCTTCTAAGTTATGGTGATCAAAGAATTGTGGCCATCCGGTACCAAGATATATATTATCATCAGCTCTCTCCAACTGTATGTTACAAATAATTCCATCGTAACCAGTTAAACGTACTGTATCACCAAGGTCACGTCCTGAGCATTCTACAAAAGATCTAGGAAGCAACTATAGGAAAAAGATATAAGTCTCATGAAAATATGGTTTACTTGGTATATAATTTCATTAATTATCAGTAAATGGTGACAAAGAGATCATTTGAAGACTTACCAAGCGAACATTATGGTCCAACGAAAGTTTGATAGCTTGAACAAAACGGTGTGGTAGATCAGTTCTGTTTGACATAATATCTATACTACAGAGACAACATATAGATTATACAAGAATTATTGTCCAAACATGTCAAAGAATTGTTGTCAGACAAATGTACAATAGAAAGTTAATCCATCTATACATAAATTCTAGTCCAAAATCTCTAATCGTTCTTTTCCAAAGCTGAAATTTTCAATTTTTAATCAATTACTCCTACTACCCCAAATTTAGACAAATGGTGAAAACATAAAATTGAAAACCAATGCTCCTTTAACTTAAATTTTTTAGAAGATTATTCTGCGAATTGGCAACCCATTTGAATTAAAGTAAATGAACAACATAAAATAAATTATACGATTGAAAAAATGGCACAAATGCAACATAATTTTGAGAAAAATTGCAAGGCTGTACTTAGAATTAGAGCATGCATAATACTTCAGTAGAATACAATAAGATGTGCAAGAATCCATAGTCATATATTACTTGTAGAAAATATATGTAAATCCATAAATGCCAACAAATATATAGATCTAAATGCCAAAAAAGATCTTGGAACAAAAAAAAAAATTCCTCATGGACCTAAGCTCCTCGAACTATGCTTTAATCTGATCTTGCACCAAGTATAATCAGATTGTTACACTCTATTATTTTTCTTACTTTTGGGTTCACATCAAGCACATACTTTTTGTTTTGTTAGTGATGCAATCAATGAATGTAAATGTCTTTTGTTAAAGTTAAAACCCACAAAAAAACAAATTTTATTCACATCATTTAGACATTCTTAATCAACAAGCTTATGTGAGTCTACAAACAGAGTCGCATATTATGTTGATTCGAGTGTTAAGGAATATAAAACGAGATAGGAAAGGCCGAGAGAAGTTGCAAAGAAATGCACAACACAGAAGCACTGCAGCAACCAGAGACGAGCATTTACAAGTGGACAACACAAGAAGTCAAGCATTTAAAAGATCAAGTATGATCACTTCAGATAACTTACTGTTCGAAAATTGAGCAAATTGCAAAGCAGTTCTCATAAAACAAATACTTTGATACAAACACGATGAATATTGGAAGATAGAATCTCATGAACTATAAGAAACAAAGACGAAATGGTGGAAAGTCTGATTAAAAATATATATAAGAGTAGGTTTGAACTTAAGAAGACTAAACAAATTAAAGAAATAGTAAATGGGCACAGGTTTTCAGCAAAGCTCTAAAGAATAAAATACACATTGTTAATTTTAAAGGAACATTAATTGCAACAAAACAGAATCAACCCAAACAAGACTAAAGTCACATTGTAATTACTTATTGAAATTAAACCAAAAAACTAAATAATTTACCTCAGTCCTCAAACGTTGCGGCTGAAGTCTGGAAGTTGGAAGAGCCGAAGAGGGTTTGTCCCAAGTAGAAAAGGTGATATTTGTCACAGAAGCAATGTTTCAATAACCCACACAAGAGCAAAAAATAAATGTCACATTTTTCTCCAGAAAATTCTTTCGATTCCTTGTTCATATTTTTTAATATCACAAAAATATTGCAAGGATTAGATTAAAATCTAAAAAAGAATAACAAGAAGGGTGCTTTGACGACCCCAAACACAACACCCAAATGAAAAGTTGTGAACATAAAATGTCTTCATTTCAAAATCCCTACTCTCTTTGAAATCTCCAATTTATTCTCAAAAAAAGAATGCCCAAAGAAAGAGAACAAAAATGAGACCAGAAATGAGTTTGCCAATCAGAACTCCCCAAATAAATAGCAAATTTATGTGTCAAATAGAAAGTCATTCATCCGTAGTACACCGATAAAAAAATAAGAGTTAACAACAATTAATTAACAAAAAAATGAAAATGAAAATCGATTATTTAAAATGCATAGAGAAACAATGGATCCTTATTATAATCCGGTACGTTTGCGCATATTTCTCGACTGTTTAATTTTCAAGGTTGTTGCCCTTTTCTTAAAACTCAACTTCTATTTTGTGCTTGGTCGTGGCACACCCTTTGTGAGAGGATAGTTCGAAGAGTGAGACATTGGTTGGAGAAAAAGAGATAAGGCTGTGCGAAAAAAAAAACACGGATAAACTACAGAATATGCTAGAACTACAAATAGTAGCAATGTCTCTTGGAAATATGCTAGAACTACAGTAAAAACGACAGCCAGAATTGGAATATAGTCAATGATAACAAAAATCGTAAAAAAATTGAGCAGGATCTTTGGCTTTTGAAGTAGATCGAAGCAAATGTAGAGTAACCCAACAAAATTTTCACATCTCAGACAGGGAAAAAGAAAAAAATCTTAAATAAAACTGCAAAAAGTAACAAACAAATCCATAAAGAAGCAAGAATCTAGCAGGAAATGAAGTTTCTCGGCAAGATTGAGCTACATGAAGAACAAATCAGCGAAAAATAGGCCGAGAACTTACTGTGAAACAAGATAAAGAGAGGGCCGAAGTTCCAGTCAAACAAAGAAGCAAATGAGAGTGGAAGAGGCTGGATGGTTTCTAGAAGCAGATATTCTACTCGGCGTCGTTTCCTTTGCGCTGCAGAGAAAGCAAATGGCGGTGTCGTCGTCTCATTTTTTTTGTGATAGCGTGAGAGTAGATGGAGGAATGGGAAAGATGAAAGGATATGACGTCTGACATAAATATGGCATGTTAAAGAAGACAAGGGACGTGAGTGGCAGAGCATAAAACGGTGCCATTTTTGAATCAATTGTGAGGACGAAATAAAAAAAAATGAAAGGAAAAAGAAAATAGGACGAACAGTGCCAAAGTGAAGTGCCTCTTTTATATTATAGGGATAGGGAAATAGGAATAGTCAAAGAAAGCTTCCTTCAGACCAAAAACCAAGAAATGAACTTCTAATTTTTTTCATTTAAATCAAATGTCTTAAATTCATGTTTTCTCAAAAAGATTAAACCCCAACATTGAGGGCCCTCATCGCTCATCGCTCCGCTCTTGGAGCATCGTGAGGAAGGTAAATCTCGGGATGTGTCCCAACAGGCCAGGAAACAAGAACTTGTCCGTACACTAATGCCCACAAAGAGTCCAATTCCATATCTCAGGAATCGAATCCTCACACTGCGACTGTCAACAAGACTAAGACTACCTCACTCTTGTCCTTTGTACCAGTGGGCTATGCCCCGATGGGCTAAATTCATGTTTTCTCAATCAATAAGACAGCTGCTAAGGGTCGTCTCATACACCTAGAGTGAACTTCTACCTTTGTCACTATAATCAAGAGTATGTAGCCGAACAAGTGCTAACACACGTCTATCTAACAATACATGACATTAAAAGATAAGCTGAATGAAATGTGAGGCATCTAAACACCAATTGGGCTGCTAAGATTCATAATTTTGTCGAGAAACAGAAAATATTTAGGTCCGTTTGATTGCAAAAATGAAATTTGGATGGAAAGAAAACGAATTTCAGAGAATTGAATTGCCTAAAAATTGTTTTATTGGGAATTGTAAATTATTGTGTTTGATAGGTATAATTTTTCAAGTGAAAAATGTTGAAATAAAAGTTTTTTAGTGTTCGTTTGACTTTGTTTTATATGAAAATTGTCGATTAAAGGGAGAGAATTTACTAGTATTGAGGATGAAATTTGTTTCCATTGCCAACAAAAAAATTCAAGAAAATCATTTATCTTTTGACGTTCGTTTGGCTTTGTTTTACATGAAAATTATCAGCTAAAGGGAAAAAAATTTTCAGTAATTCTTAGAATTTGTTTCCATTGTAAAAAAAAATTTTAAAAATCGAAAAAATAAAAATAAAAACATACTACAGTAATAAAGAATTCCAATTCTCACCATTTTGGTGAGAAATGGAATTCCTTGAAAACCAAAAGCAAAAAAAAAAAAAAAAAAAAAAAAAAAAAAAACACAAAAGGCAAAA